GTCAACAGACTCAATTGCCGAAAGCGATAATAGGTCAGATAAAGAATCAAAAGTTAAAAACGATAATAAGTCAGATAAAGAACCACTCTAAAATGAACGTAACAATGCTAAAATTATTATCAGATAAAACATAATAATTGCATTCATTAATCTAATAAGTAATACTGAAAAATACATCAATTAGTAGTTTCGGTTTGTCATAAAAATTGAATGGCTAAACATTATTAATTTATTAGCTCATTATTAGTTCGTTATTTGTTTTAGCATTATTTTTTTAAATTGCTTAATATTTAATATTATCTATTAAATTTGATTTTTAAAAATCATTTTTTATTTTTAAATTAAAAATAAACTATTCTTTTAAAGAAAGGTAGTTTTGTTAACTTTACTCAAATTTTAAGCAAACATTTATAAAAACTTTATAAATCTCTCTCTCTATTAATATAATTAATTTACTAATAATCCTTTTCAGCAATAAAAAACTAAAAGTGAAATATGCAAGCTAATATATTAAAATTAAATAATGAATCGGTTTGTTGGGCTATTAATAAGTTATGTTTAGGGATGGGGAGGTTCGGATCGGTTTGGATTGGTTTAATATATGCAGCTAATTATAAAATATATTAAACCAATCCAAACCAATACGAACTTCCCCATTCCTAGTTGTGTTCATGTCGGGTCTCATAGATAAATGCATTATTCTTTATTCTCTAAATACGTGCTATGATCTTGGTCAATAAGCACAATTACATAATTATTAAGATAAAAGAGCCAATCATATTTTATTAAATGAAATCGTTTTTTTAGTTTAATATCTGATATTGATATAAAATTATAGTAATTATTATTTGGTTTTCTAATAAAAGCTGTAAAAAGTTTTATGATTCTAATATAGCAAACTCTCCAAAATTGATTTAGTAGTTTTTAAGATATGAACATAAACTTTACAAAATATAAAATTTATATCTTTAAAACTTTTATTAGAAACCTAGCTAAGGTTTCATATATATATATATATATATATATTATTATTACTATTACAATAAATTGTGTATTTGTGAATTTGATATTTAATTTAAATTCATTCCATATTGCTATTTTTTTAAAAAATTACGCCGATTGCAAAATGACCGATGTTATCTTTGTTATTTCTTAGTTTAAGGATGATACATTTAATTAATAGACGAAAAAATTAAGAATAAAAGCAAAATGCAGGTACAAATGAGGGATATAAGTCTTCAATCAGAGAAGGTATAGGACAAGCGGTTTCATTAATAACCCTGTTCCCAGCCTTTGCTAGTTCTTCTTTTAAACAATCTTTGTTACAGCAAAGTTCATAACATTGAATGTCAAAAATATCTCCCGTAAATTTGTTTTCTATAAAAGCCAATTGATTCTCATTGATAATTAAATTCAATAGAGTGGTATTTTTGTTAAGAGAATCTATTAATGCCTTCCCTCCTTCAAAACCAAGGTTATTATTGCTAATATCTAAAAAAGCCAGGGTACTATTCTTGCAAAGGGCACCTGCCATTGCCTTTCCTCCTTCAACGCCAATTCTATTACCATTGAGATTGAAATGAGTTATAGTGGTATTTTTGCCAAAAGAATCTGCAAATATTTTTCCTTCTTCAGAGCCAAGTTGATTAGAACCGAGATTTAAATGAGTCAAATTAATATTTTTGCAAAGAGCTTCTGCGAAAAATTTTGCGCCATCTAATCCAAGTTTATTATTACTAAGATCCAAATAAGTTAAGGTATTGTTGATGTAAAGTGCCTCAGTCAATGCTTTTGCACTTTCATGGTCAAGTCCGTTATCACTAAGATTTAAGGAAGTCAAGGTATTATTCTTGTAAAGAGCTTTTGCTAATTCTTTTACACCTTCAGAACCAAGTTGATTTCTAGATAGATTCAAAAATGTTAAAGTGTAGTTATTATAAAGGAACTTTGCTAATGCCTTTCCACCTTCAAAACCAAGATGATTCCAAGCAAGATTCAAAGATGTCAAAGTGCAATTATTGCAAAGAATCATTGCTATTGTTTTTCCTTCTTCAGAACCAAATTGATTCCTAGTAAGATTCAAAGAAGTCAGAATGGCGTGATTACAAAGTGCTTCTACTAATTTTTTTACATCTTCATGAATAAGTATATTTTTAGTAATGTCCAAAGAGGTTAAATTCGTATCAGTACGGAGAACTTCTATCAATAACTTTATTGATTCTGAATCAAGCTTATTATATTCAAGTTTTAAAGAAGTTAGATTGGTATTTATATTAAGAATTCTTATCGTCTCGCTGTCAATCATTCCATAAATTTTTAAATTTTTAAGTTGATTGCAATTTCGCAGAAATGATCTGATCAATGAGAATTTAACAGTACGAACTAATTCATGATAATTAATCGGATTATATGAATTATAAGAATAATGTAGAGTTGATTCATATGGATTGAATGGATTACAATATAAGAGAAAATTAAGCCATCTTTCGATACTAAGGTTTAAATTATAGCCATCAATAGAAGTAATAAATGTTATATATTTAAATAATGGCTTTGAAAATTTCGAAAGCGTTAAGTTTAGTGGAATAAGTCGTCTTTGTTCTTCAATGCTTAATGATAAAAAATATATCATTATAATCCTTTTATCAACATAATAATCCAGAGGTTTGCTCCATAATATTGGTGTAGCAATTCTACACCATTTCCGATTTACAAGAAGACATGAAAATAAGCTTTCATGATGTTTATTAAGGTCACTGAAATAATTAAATATGTCATAAAAGCATTCATTTGGAAGCAGCTCAATCATTTTGAAAGGATGATGGTTGAGATACGTTAATACGTAGCAAAATCCCATTATATAAATAAAAATGTTACAAACTTTGTTTAATAAAGTTCTCAATGATTACATTGTACCATGTTTGATTGATTGTTGTAGATCCAACAGTGACAAATAGGTTGAGTTAGTACAACATAATAGCATGCACAAAACTTCATTAATCGTTAAACTACCTGTATTGTCATTAAATTATTAAATTACGGGATATATAACAACTTGCATGTGTATTCGACTAGTTATAATGAATATTACATGAATGCTATTTTACATGAATGCTATTTGATCGTAATTAAGGTGCTGGATCAGAATTTTCGAAAGTCAGACGTAATTATTTCGTCAAATTGATCTTTTGACTTATTATTTGATATCTATTAAATAAAATATTCGAATTTTTCATATACGTATATTTTATAAGGCCATACAAACTTATATTTTCGGTTTTCATACCCGGTCGGGTCATCAAAGCGGGAATCCAAATTTTTATTTTTTTTTTACAGACGTTATTATTATTCCTTGGCAGGGACACAGAAATTATGTGATTTAGTGTGATTAAACAAAAGAAAATTACTAAGGTTACACGTAGTGTATGGTACACGGGTATTAATTTAAAAATCCGTGTAACATGCAAATCAAAACAACTTGTATAGAAAAATTAAAGCCCTACTTCGGGTTAGGTTAGGGTGCATTTAGGATTGGGGCGTGTTATAGCCTATACCAAAATTTCGTAAGGAATTTTTTTTGTTAGAATTCAAAAGGTGGTTTCATAAACGAAATTTTGAAATATAGGTAATTACATCTGATCGTGCAATCTGATTGGCTTTCTATATATCCGTGTACAAACACCCGTGTACAAATAAACAAAATCACACTAAATCACATAATTTTGCTTCACTTATATTGCGTTAGTATCATGTGCACTCGTTTCAAATGTTTAGTAATATTTTAAAATGTATAACAAACTATGATACTCTAGTATATTAATTTAAATAGTATGACAAAATACTATAAATAAATTCGTCTTCATAATTAGAAAGAGAATTTTTCTATTTGTTAATAGTTCAAAAGAACAACCACGAGTACTTAATTTAAAAATAACAATTAAGGTAATATCGTTAACTATAAATAATTTTATTTTTAGATTAATTACTCTGTTACTCTGATACGCTTACAAATTTTTATTAAAAGAAGTGTTTATAACAATAAATAAATCAGAAATAGATAAATTTTTGTCTAGTTGGACGCAATATTTAACAAATTTTTATTAAAAAGTGTTTTTTAACAAATAAATAATTAGAAACAGATAAGCTTTTGCTTAGTGAGCACAGTATTTAAAAAATTGCAAGGTTTTTTTTTTTACGAGATAAAATTGCTTAGTAAACATTATTAAATTGCACTTAATTTTTAATCATCAGCAATTCGAATATTTCATATATACCGCACGCATAATTTACAAATTCTTATCGCATAAATTCTGTGTCCCTGGCTACAACACGCCGAAATTTTGTGCCCTGGTGCCAAGACCAAATCCGATAGTTGATCTCAATATCGATATGTACTCTGCAACAAATAGGAATAATAAGTATAGTATATTTTTTGATTAGTGTAACCACAATGATCAAGATTATTTTAAATTTATTTCGAAGTACAGTATATACGTGCCAAGATATATTAAAATGAATGTTGTAAAAACTCATTGTGAACCCTTTCATTCCTTTATACTGTATAGTAAGCTTCATTCACTATACAATTTTTTCTTTTCATTGTTCTTTTTACGTTCTTTTTATGTTCTTTTCATTTTTTTTTTAATGTTTAATGAAAAACGGAAAAATCTTAGTCATTTTTGCGATTTTACTGGTTTGCCCATTTAACTTATTTTCTATGAAAGTACAACTTTTCACAAATCATATGGAATAATGTTTTACAAAAGATCAATTGATCCTGGAGAATGCGTTGGAAATTTAATACGAAGAAATCATCCATCAACCGACTCTTTAGGTTGCTATACATTTAATACAACTTTTGGCATAGATACTTTCGAGTATAAATTTTCCTGTCCCATACAAGGATCGGGATCAAACTTTAATGGGCCCAGGACTCTGTATAACTATTGTGCTGATTATCTTTTTAAATATGCAGCACTAACAAATGGAAATAATTATAGATGTATAATAACACTGGTTTAGATGCTTACGTTAAATTAACTGATGATAGTTTAATTAATACAACTTGAATATCACTTGCGTCGGTAATTCAAGTTATATATGTGGTGGAAAAGATGGCTATACTGTTTATAACGCATTAACGGCCTTTTCAAGTTATAGAGTACCTAATATAACTATCAGTCAAAAACTTGAAATAATTAATGACCTTCGCCTTAATAAAGATGTAAGATATAAAGGATGTTATAAGGAAAGTCCTTATTGTAATCAAGGATATTTAAATGGTACATCAGAGGAATGACAATTGAAGAGTGTTTAAAATTTTGTGGAGGAAATAAATTTAAGTATGCAGGACTCGAGATATCGATGATAGGTTTTTTTATTGCACATTTATTGAAATCCAAATTTCAATTATTCAACTTTTTAATCACTGCCTGTTTTAATTGTAACCATGTGTCTAAATATATGAAAATGAATTTAAATCTTTATTATTACCATTCTTAGGTAGGGTCGCAGTGTTTTTGCGATGATGATTATAGAAGCCTGACCAGACTTCCCATAGAAGAATGCAGTTCTAGCTGCAAAGGTAATAATTCACAAATCTGTGGGGTTATTTGGCTCTTAGTATATAAAATGCTTCACCACCTTCAGGTGGTCTTTCAGAAGGTCAAATAGCTGGTATTGTTGGTGTTGTTGATTTTGCTTTAATTTCAGCATTAATAGTTTTGTATGTAAAATGGAAATTTTCATCTCAAAGCTCAGATACTAATTTAGATAACGATATAAATGGCCCAGAAACTAATTCAGTTAACGATACAAATGGCCAAGATACTAATTCAGATAACGATACAAATGGCCCAGTTATTAATTCAGATAATGATACAAATGGCTCAGATATTAACGATGCAAATGGCCCAGATACTAATTCAGATAACGATACAAATGGCCCAGTTATTAATTCAGAGAATGATACAAATTGCTCAGATATTAACGATACAAATGCCCAAGATGATAACGATACAAATTGCTCTAAAACACCACCATGATTTGCATTCATTATTCTGATAAGTAATATTGAAAATTTATATCCGTTAGTAGTCTCAGTATTCATAAAAATTGAATGGTTAAACATTATTAATTTATTAGCTCATTTTAGTTTTTTATTTGTTTTTAGCATTAATTTTTTTACAATTGCTTAATATTTAATATTATTTTTAAATTTGATTTTAAAATCAGTTTTTATTTTTTTAATTTTATTTTTATTTTTTTTTATTTTTTATTATGATTTTCCGTATACATGATATAGGTTTCATTACATTATTCTATTACAATGATATATTAGTAACTATCTATATTTATCCTATATAACCGTTTTCACGTCGCAAATTACCCCTTATTTTCTATTAAGAAACTAATTTAAGTACAACTAGTTATAGTAAGGGAAGGGGATACCCAGACTAGTGCTCTCCATTTTTTGCCTGTTACCCAATGGTTAACCTAGTTTTCTTCAGACTGTATAACAACCACCAGTGAACCTGGCAGCCATTGATTAACCACAGGAGGATTCTTTATCAGATAAGTTCTATATCTTTACAGGCAGATTACACCACTTCTTGAACCACCCTGCCCTTATGGAGTTCACCCAGGCACTTAAGACTGTACTACCTTTCTACTTGGGTCTTGCCAAATGGGCATTGATCTTGCTGAAGTTTCATGAATTATCTGACTATAAGGACTTATCTTGGGTTTGCACCATTCTTTGCCAGCTTGCATGCCTTCAAATAATTTGTGTATTATATGAATGCTCTATGGGTTCTCCCAATTTGGTTAAATTGGTGAATACCCATTTACAGAATTGAGCTTCAACTTTGATGAGCACTATGCATAACACAGCCCCAATTGGGAAGATCATATCTGCATATAAATAAAATTTTGAAAATTCACCTTTAACAAGATTCAAACCCTAGACATGCTATTTGGGAGTGACAACTTGACCACTTTACTAAGTTGCTACACCCTCAAGTTTTTTATTTTTAAATTATAATAAGATTAAATAATAAATTAGTTTGTTGAGTTATTAATAATCTGGTTTTATGTTAGGTTTTATAGATAAATGTATTATTCTTTAGTTTCTAAATTTGTGCTATAATATTAGTCTGTAAGCTTAGTTATATAATTATTACTATAAAAGAACCAATAATATTCTATTAATAAATTATTTATTAATATTTAATAGTTTAATAGATGATATTAATATAAAAATTATAGTAATTCTAATTTAAATATTTTAAAATATGAATAAAAATGTTTTTTGCAACTATATAAACTTTACAAAATATAAAATTTATTTAGTTGTAAAAATATATTAAGAATTACTAGGCTAATTTTAATAATTTTGTCTATTTATAATTAAAAAAACCTTTTTTTAAAACTTTTATCAATGAAGATCATCATAACTCTTTTTGATAATCTTCTGGCCAGCAACAACAAAACACTAAACTACAGAAAATCTATAGAGAAGTTCAAAACAATACTATTAACAGATGTAAAACATTTAGAAGTAGGTATAACTTAGATGGTTTTCTTGTGATCAAGTTTTTCTTCTTTGATAGACTTTTTAAGATATTCAACATTTAAACTAAAAGGTTTATTTTAAGAACAAGTAGTGGCAAGGTTCTTGTTAAATAATAGAAGTTTAAAATATAGATTATACAATTGTAAAACTTATAAAAAAATCTTAAATACTCTCATTGTTTAAAAAATTTTGTTAAAAAAGTGAGGATTTCAGCTTACTCCTTCAAAGATCAATATATAAATTTCTTCAAAATTAATTATTTACTTTTAGTAAAAATTACAGTCAAATGTCTGAAATAAGCAACCAAGCATGTTTAGATGACAATACAATAGGTTATATATCTCAACTATAATAATACTTTGAGACTATTAGAGTTTTTAATTACTTTGTCTAGCTTAGTTTAATTTAGTTTTATTTTTTAATTGCTTGTTAGATTTTTTAAATATATATATTATTAGAATAAAGTTAGATACAGTATTTCTTTATCTTGTAATATGTGATTTTTAAAGCCTAATATAGGCTTATAATTGTAACTTGTCAGTTTTCTTTTCTTTTTAATTATTCTCTTTCTCTTTTTATTAGTATTAGTATTAGTATTTTTTGTTTTTACTTTTTTATGAGATGTCATCAGATTAGTAATATTCTATTATAGGATAGTGGTTTGACAATATCTTCTGAAATAAATGAGTTTATTATGATGTGTTTCTTGTAGATAGATTTGCCTAGTATGGTTAATCACTTGTAAGTACTTTTACAAGTAATTGCAAAATATTAGGCATAAATATTAAGCTCAAATTTTGTTATATCTATAACAAAATAATTTTAATAAAGGATTACTAACAAGACAGTCAAAGTAAAAAATTTTTATTAAAAGTTTAACTAATATTTATATATATATACAGTCAAACCCCTTTATAGTTACACCTTCGGGATACAAAAAATTGTGATTATAAAGAGGTGTGACTAATATAGAGGTATTTTCTATATAGTTATAAATAATTGGTAAAAATAAATTAGTAATTATACCAATTTTGTGATTATAGAGGAGATGAATATAGAGGCGTTGATTATATTTTATTAAATTATATTTGTTAAATATACATATATATAAATTTGATATTTAACTTAATTTTATTTTATATTAATTATTTTTTAAAAAAATTACACAAATTGCAAAATAATTTTATATATATATTTTTTCTTTATTGGCAGCCTCATCAGTATCTTTATTAGATCAAAGCTAATATAAAGTTATATTATAAACTATCTAAGTTATAGATCTGACATCACTCAGCTTACTCTATAGGCACCCAAGTATGGTTTGTCTCACCAGTTAAGGCTATTGCCCATACTGGAAGGCTGCACCAAGCTAGCTAGTAAAACCATAGCAAGATAGTTTCAATTTAAAGAGATTTTTAACTAAACTAAATTGGCATTTTTTCCTTCTAAACTATCATCTATTTTATCATGAACTAAAACTAATTTTCTATTAATAACTAATTATATTTCTTTCTCAATAAGGGTTTATTGCCAGAAATCTCTCATTTATATTTATGTTTCTTTTTCTTCTTCTTTTAATTAAATCTGTCTTTTCTAATTAGAGACTCATTTCTTAGGACTTTATGTTTTATAGCTTCATGGTTTTCTTCTGCTTCATGAAAGCTTATTATGTATTCTTTCTCTGCAGATACTCTTCTGTAAGTTTCTTTTCTTTGGGCCTTCTTTTGGTCTTTCCATTCCAGAGTCTTGAATAGTCTACTCAAATTTATTTTCTTCTATATTTTGGATATATAGGTCTTCTTTTTTCCTTTTCTTTAACTTTTTCTTTTTCTTTTCTTCCTAGGCTTTGGTTTTCTTCCCAAAAACTTTCCTTGAATTTCAACAAAGATTTTCTGATTCTAGAAGATTTCTACAAAGATCTGCTCTAGTATTTCTAATAATATATCTTTTTTTTTTCTAATGTTTGATACCTTTCCATTTATAAGTTATTGTATCTTGAAACGAATTCAAATCCATGTTTCTTTGGTCTTTCAGGCATCTTAACTTCCATTGAAATTTCACACCATGTATCGATTATGCAAGCAACTCTTTCTTTTTCTTTTTCTATGTCCTGTTATTAGGTTGTAAATCTATAATACTAAATTGATATATTACTTCTATAACCATTTCTGCTAGAGTTGTTAGTACAATTTTTGGGTTTGTTTCTTTTTAAATCTTGTTTTGCATTTTTGTTTCTGTAAAATCTAAAATGTCTTGTTTTTTGCTTCTCTTTTCTGTTTCTTCTTTGATTTTTCTTTTTTTCTTTTCTTGTCTAAATGCAGTAGATTCAACAGATATTTTAAACTGTAATATTAGAGTTTTTAATACTTTTTAGTTCTGCTGCCTTTGTCGAGTTTTCCTTTGTTTTTGAAGTTTCTACTCTAATCTAGATTTAACTTCGACTTTATTTTAGCAGCTTGCTTTTTCTTTTGTCGAACTTGCATCTTCTCTTTTTCTTTTTTGACTTTTCTTTTAATTTCTTGTTGATTTGCTGTGGTAGTTTTGACAGATTCTTTGAATTGTTGTATTATAGACTTCAGAGCTGTTTTATTGTACTGTTTTTGTCAATTTTTCTTTTGTTTTTAAAGTTTTTTCCTCAATCCTAATTCTAATTTTGACCTTATTTCAGCATCTTGTCTTTCTCTATCTTTTAGTAATCTTCTTATTCTGTCAGCCATCTTTAATTCTACTATAATACTGATTATTTCTTTTTTTATAATATTAATGACTGGGTCTTCTTCTTTTTATATTGCTTTATGAAAACATTTATAGTCTCTTTCTATAAGTGCAAGTTCTGTATACTCTAATTCTCTTCTATTATACCTTCATCATTCTTCAAAAAGTTCTTCTATTTGTGCTTTGGCTACTTCTTCTAAAATGAGTTGCTATTCAGTATATTCTGTCATTATTTGTTCTACTTGCATATTTATTATTTCATTAGTTATTGCTATTGTTATGTTCTGGATAGCTTCTAATACCTCTTTTTTGTAACAGGTCTTCTTTTAGAACCTTGTGCTAACTTCTGCTTCATATGACTTGTTGTTTTTTGGTTATCGTTGTTTGTTGTTACTACTTGTTGTGATTGTTTATCTCTATTGTTTATTTTTGTTATGTGGTTTTTGGTGTGTTTCTTTGGTTTATTTTTCATTATGAGTTGTAATTTTTGTCCTACCAAAACAGATTTGCAATTTAGGGTCAAGGCCGATTTCCCAAAAATTCACAAAGTGCAAAAAAATATTGATAATTTTTTATAACTTCTATTTCTTTACCACTTCTGTTCCTTTTACTTAAGTTTCTTAAGAAACTAAGTATTTTTTGTAGTCCTCTTCTTCTTTTTTTAGAGCTTCAAGTTTTGTTTTCTAGTAGCTTTTTGTGTTTTTTATAGTTTTTGTTAATTTTGTTTTTCAGAAAATTTGTGTTTTGATAATTAGCAGAAAGAGTTGTGTATATAGTTACAAAATTAATATAATTGGAAAATAATTTATATTATTTTCTAGTCTAAGAATAATATATTCAATTCTCTAGTAGGTTTAGGTTGCAGATAAAATATTCTGAGTCTTATTCTTGTAAAAATTTGTAAAATTTGGCTTTGGCCAGAGAAACCCCTTGTGGATTCTCAATACAAATTATTAAATAAAGATAAAGGCAAAACCTTATCTTAAAAAAAAAAAAAAAAAAAGAATAATATATTCAATTAATAGACATAAATTAAGAATAAAAGCAAAATATAAATACAAATAAGAGATATAAGTTTTTAATCAGAGAAGATTAAAACAAAAGATTTTATTAATAATTCTGTTTTTAGCCTTTGCAATTCTTCTTTTAAATAATCTTTGTTATAGCAAAGTTCATAACATTGAATGTCAAAAATATCTTTTGTAAATTTGTTTTCTATAAAAGCTAGTTGATTTTTATTAATAATTAAATTTAATAGAGTGTTATTTTTGTTAAAAAAATCTATTATTGTCTTTTTTTTTAAAAATTAAGGTTATTATTACTAATATTTAAAAAAGCCAAAGTACTATATTTATAAAGAACATCTGTTATTGTCTTTTCTCCTTTAATGCCAATTCTATTACTATTAAAAATAAAAATGAGTTATAATAGTATTTGCAAAAAGAATTTACAAATATTTTTCTTCTTCAGAGCCAAATTAAGTTAAATTAATATTTTTGCAAAGAGCTTCTGTAAAAAATATGACACCATCTGATTCAAGTTTATTTTTACTAAAATATAAATAAATTAAAATATCAATTATATAAATGTCTTAATCAATGCTTTTGCACTTTTATAATTAAGTCTGTTATTATTAAGATTTAAAGAAATCAATATATTATTTTTATAAAGAGCTTTTGCTAATTATTTTACATTTTCAAAATGCATTTCTACCTTTAAAACCAAGAAGATTTTATGCAAAATTTAAAGATATCAAAGTGCAATTATTACAAAGAATCATTGCAATTATTTTTTCTTTCTCAGCATAAAATTAATTTTTAGTAAATTTTAAAAAATTAGAATTGTGTAATTACAAAGTGCTTCTCCTATTTTTTTATCTAATTTTTTTTACATCTTTATGAATAAGTATATTTTTAGTAATATCTAAAAAGATTAAATTTGTATTAGTACAGAGAACTTTTATTAATAACTTCATTGCTTCTGAATCAAGTTTATTATATTCAAGTTTTAGTAAAGTTAGATTAGTGTTTATATTAAGAATTCTTATTATTATTTACCCACTAATAACAAATTTTAAATTCTATTTGTATAACAGCTATTATTTTTTATTGATTGGTTAGAAAGAGATCTCTGTAATCTTGGTGGCTCTAACTAGATTGGAAGATCATAGAGCATTTATGTTATGCATAAGTTACACAAATAGAAGTTCAATGATCACATTAATCTGAGAAACCAGATGGATAGATGTCTACTTAACAAGACCCAAGTAGAGAAGTAACACAGATCTTTAACAGTACTATATAAAGGACTATTATTAAGAGAACTAGTAAATACTGAATGGGACCAAAGTGTATAACAAAGTACTCTACTAACCAGATTACTGAAGCCAGAGGAAAGGATTTGCTTAATTGCAGAATATCAGAGGACTAGTAAATCTGCAAGTGAAAGTCTTCTTCGAGCTATTTGGATTGGGAGTTTTGGATGCCTAATAAAGAGTGTTTGGGAAGACACTCTACCAACCTAGTCACCAGAACTAGAAAAAAGGATCTGCTTAACCACAGAATACTAGGGCTAGTAAATCTGAAAACAAAAGCCCTCACCAGCCTATCTGGATTGGTAGTTTAGAAATATCAGGAGTATTGATAATAGTTTTTAAAGTGGGTACTAGAGTTTGAGTAAACTCTACAAAAACAGAAGTAGATAATGCTAGCAGCTTCAGCTTGCAAGTACTTGTCTTCGAACTTTGTATAAGTTACTGAAGTCTAGATTAGCCAGATTGTGGATATAGAAAGCTTTAGCAACAATACCTTAAAGATAAATTAGTCTTAAGGCTATAGTAAGCATCTGAAACTTCATGACTAACAAATGTAATAGAGATGTCCCAGTGACACAAGAGGGTTGCATTACAAAAAGTTTAAATAGATAACCCTCTAGTTGAATTATAGGTATAGCAATTAATGTAGTTCTTATAGTATACTGTTGCAGACTACTTAAATAGGTAATTAAAAGTTGCATACATGGCTAGTTGTACACTTTAATATAATAGAGGGTTCCATTGTAAGCCTCTTCACCTAGTATACTTGAATAAAAAATCTATGCCAAAGAGGCTAGTTAAAAAAAAATTAATACAAATAAGCTTCGGTATATTGCCTTGATAGTTAAACAGATTAGTACAAAATCGATACAGCCTTAGTTTATTTTTGAACTGAGACTTCATCTAATATATTTCTTTACAATTACTTAATATATATTCACAATTTAGTTTAATTTATATTTTTGTTGTTTAATTTCAAATTGATGCAACTTTCTATATTTTTAAATAAAACCTGTATATAAAATCAAAGTTATATTAATTTATAAACAGCAATAATATTAAAGATCAATTTCAGACCTATAGAAAGCAAAACTATAGATGCACTAATATTAACAAATTTTGTACTAATCTTGTGCCAAATCAATATATTCAGAAGATCAAATATAATATGTGAGTAAGTATATATATATTACCTAAAAATAACTAATAAATAATAAGTATATTATAGGCAAACAACTACTCTGGTTTTCTTACTTAGAAGATGAAATTACTAATCATTATGCCAACCGTACACTATACCAACATTTACATCTACCAGATACAAACTACTATAGCTACACAACTGGCCACTTTTCTTCAAAGAAAA